CAAAACTATAGGCAAAGGTGTTGCTGAACATCATGGAACTACATAGAAACAATTTTACCCTCTCTAGTTTCCAATACCATGTTTCCACTTTCCAGTAGCCCTTACTAGAAGGCTTTAGTCTTCCAGTCCTTCTAGATTTCATCCACTGCCAATTTTAAGACACTCTAAAGTTCTGTATTTTTTTTTCTTTACAATAGTCCACCCCTTCTTGGCACCAAAATATTTATTAGTTATCTACTGCTATGCAATCCATTACTCTAATACTTAGCAGCTTACAAGAATAAATGGGCACTATCTCACACAGTTTCTGAGGATTAGGAATTCTTAAACAGTTTAGCAGGATGGCCCCAGCTCAGGGCTCTCATGAGGCTGTTTTCAGGATATTGGCAGGGGCTGTCGTCATCTGAAGACCTGAGTAGACCTGCAAAGAAGGCTCATTACGTGGCTGTTGGAATTAGACCTCAGTTCCTTGCTGGCTGTCCCTAAGAGGCTTCAGTTCCTTTTAACAGGGCTGCTCAAGATATGGTAACTGGTTTTTTCCAGATCAAGTGATATGGGAAAGATAAAAGAGGAATAATCCATACCATTGCTTATGACCTAGCTCAGAAGTGACATATCATCGTTTCTACTCTATTCCATTGGTCACACAGATCAACCCTGATACAACGTGTAAAGAAATCACATAAAGGCATGTATCCCAGCGCTCACTATCATGAATGAACATTTTGCAGTTGGCTATAATATAATTTATAGATTTTCACCTTTTAAAGTAAGCACATACTGGCAATTTAAGTCATATCTGCTTTTATACAATGAAATTTATAAGTACATTTCCAACTGGAAAAGGATAAGGCAAAGCAGAGAGTAGGATTGACGGTGTATAGTGTCATCTTGCACACTTGAATGGGGGATGGCAAACTATGGCCTGTGAACCAAACCTGTCTCACCACGTGCTTTATAAATAAAATTCTTTGGTAACACAGGCAAACCAGACATTTAAGTATCATTCATGTCTTTTAGAATTACTATGGCAAAGTTCATCAGTTTCAACAGAGACCGGTCCGCAAAGTTGAAAATATTTACTATCTACTTCTCCATAGAAAGTTTTTCAAACCCTGAACCAGGATATAAAGAGAAAAGTCTCAGAAGTTCCAAAAGTGTGGAAATACAAAGGAGGATAAATATTCCAGACTTCCACATAAGACAACTGAAAGGAATCCTAAGGCTCCTGTGAGTACACACATGCAAGCCTTTCATTAAGGGCAAAGTCTATGATCCTGCATGGAAAAGAGAATTCAAATAAGCAGCAGGGGACCAAGTTCAGGGATAAGCTCCCAATGTTCTTCCTATTTGCATATAGTCATGCTTCATGGCTGGATAAATCTGTTGATGTTTGTGTAAAATAAAACTTGCATTCAGGACAGCTGAGGCTAAAATTTCCTACAAAGTCTTTATATTCACTTAGTGACATAGCAAAGACAAGATGTCTAATTGATTATCGTAGATGCAAACCATCAATAAACAAATTGGGCCTAGATTCAACTTGCGTGTTTGGAAATTTAAACAACTCACCATAAATCATTAATTAGCTAGCCCACTGTTCATGTCATGACCAGGCAAGAAAAACAGTTAGGCATCTCCTGAAATAAGCAAAGGGCAGTCGCAGTCCAGTTATAATATAATTATCTTTCTTATGTATACTATATTAGGGTGTACATGTCAATAATGGAGGAACTGAGAATTAAAATATTGGGAAAAACAGAAAATGAATATTTGCCCTGGCATATGTGAATTAAGTTCTCGGTTAATTTAGGGATCAAAAGAGATGTTTAAACTACATCAACTATGAAGTAGAAATTGTAACATATTTCTGGGGGTGTGTTAGTGTGGTAGGCGGAACCCCAAGTGGCTTCCCAAATTGCCATGCCCTGGAGTACACCTCTATAATCCCTTCCTTTTCAGTTTGAATGGGATTTGTAGATAAGATAGACTGTTACTCGTGTTTAGATTACACTAAAGGACAAATAAGACAATTTTCAGATGCCATTAATCACTTCAGTAGGGCGCTCACCGGCTCGGAAACCTTGCCCACAGCCGGCGCTCATAGTCCGCATGAGAGTCTGTGCTGTGCATTGACTATGAATCTGTTTTGCTCTTGTGTGATGAGGAAAGCTTTAAAGCACTGAAAGCTTGTTTTACTTACAGGCAGCTTTACTTGTAATATAAATCAGAATAGGTAACATATACATATATGTTTTTATTACGTTATTTTTAAATGTTCACAATTTTTATTTTGATAAGTGAAAAATTGGAATTAATTCTAATAAAAGCTGTAAAAGTAAAAGCTTTTGGCTGTCGACTAAAGTCTACACTCGGCTGTGCGCATTCATCTGTGGCTATTGACTATAGTCATAGCTCGTACCGAAGTGGTTAAGGTTCCTAATCCTTCACTTAATGAAAAAAGATATTTGTCCCTCAGGGGTGGGTCTCACCTAATCAACTAAACACTTTGAAAGAGATTGTAAAGGTGAGAGAGAGGGAAAGTCAGAGATGTTCTTTTTCTGGCCTTGAAGAAGCAAGCAGCCATGCCTAATGACAGGGGCAACCCCTGGGAGCTGAAGGTCTCAGTTCTACAACCACAGACTCTAAATTTTGTCAACAACCTGAATGAGCCTGGAAGAGGACTCTGAGTTTCAAGTGAGAATGCAGCCTGGCCAAGACCTGATTGCAGCCTTGTGGGACGCTGAACAAATAAACCGATGTCAGCTATGACAGGTTCCTGACCCATTGAAACTGTGAGATAGTAAATGTGTATTGTTTTAAGTCTGTAATTTTATGGTAATCTGTTATGTAACAGAACATAGCAAGTATTGCATACCATTAGGATAATATCTTCAGGGCATCAAGATGGAATTAAGGAAATATAAACTGACTCTTGCAATACTATTTTGCTATTGTGTGTGTTGCATATTTAGTTACTTTTTTCTGTTCTATCTACAACATATATGGTGTCACTCAACTAGATCATTATCAGCCCATTTCATAGTAAAAAAAAAAAACAGAGAGCAAAAGAAAATGTGTCTCTCCCCAGAGAATATATCAGAAATATTATATCAGAAGGGATAAAAAGAGATTTGGTTACAAACTCTTACATATGAAAGAAGTCTATCCCATCCCAAAGACTACAGAGATATTTTCAGGATGAAGAACAGCAGAATGCAGGTAAGAGTGGGAGGAAGAATAGTAAAAATGAAACAGGTCACATGGGCCTGGACTGAGTGTGACTCATGTGATAGCACCATGTTGTGAGAGAGACACACCCTTGGGTGACCAGTATCCTCCATTCAAGCCAACACCTTCCATCAAAAAGCTCTGACTTTATGTAGGAACTAAAAAATAACATGTGGGCTACACTTCAAAGGCAACAGGAATTTTCTTCTCCCAGGAGAAAATATTCTTGGCCTTAATTTCTCTCTGAAATTAGACATCATTCATCACACTTAACACCTCTGTTTTCTCACTACTTTTGAAACTGTTAATCAATGTTCATGAGATCTCTGGAAATTAAAGAAGATTACACTCTGGACAGCTGATGAAATAATCTTGTGAAAAGTGACAACTAGAACCTATATTTGGGTGTAGCTAAGTGAACACAGTTGAGACTCATCCTGGACAAAATTGATGAAAATTGAGCATTTTTGGTTTATTACAGAGAAAACCACTCTAAGTGTCAAAAGCCAAGCAGAAGAAATTGCCTTATGGGTATAGAATAGGAAAATGAAATAGTTGGTACTAAACCTTATTGATTTTCCTTACAAGTTTACCCATTATATTTAATTAAAATTATTATTTTGTAATCAAAAAATCAAACCATTTCAAATCTCCAGAAAGTGTAATGCATAAGCCCTCTTAGTTCATGTTGAACATTTGAAAGTTGTTATATTCTATTCTGTATATTTCATTATGTACCTTAAATGCATTTTTCCTAAGTCAATCTTCATAAAAAAATGTGAAGAGTTCAGTTCATAGTCCTATTCATATTTTGAGAAATAAAAATAAAGAAATCCTTTCCTCTTCTGGGCCTTTGTATATTAGAAACAACTTTGTTCTTAATTATTGCCATTTAATCGAAATATAAAACTATAAAGCAAATAGAGATGCCAATATAAATTCCTTGGGATTTATATATGTGACAGTTATAAAATGGAGTTGGATTTGATAGTGGTGATATCAAGAAAATCCCACCCATGTCACAGCATTGGAACTCATCATTGTCCCCATCCCTTCTTTGACATGTTCAGAAACCCCTCAGTAAAATGGAGTGCCCCTCTCTTCCAAAAAGGGAATTAGACACATAATTTTTAGAAAAGGGAATAAGATCGTCATTGTACATAGAACTGACTCTTTCACTGAAGCACAAGCATACAAGTGTGTTCTTCTCTGAAGCAGATGGTAAATGTGAGAAGATTGTCATACAACACTCTCAGCTCTAAATTAAAACATGCAGATATATATGTATATAGATATTAATATCTATATATTGATGTATACATATCAATAAAGGATATTGGCATTATTGTTATTTCACAAAAAGTGAGGTGAGACAGCAACTTCCCAATTTAGTGTCCCATACAAAGGACTGAAGTGATGTCGATATACATTATTTAGTGTGAATTACATTTTATTTAAATTTCTGCCAAGAGAATTTATAAGGATGTAAATAAAACCACACAAATGTGCACTAAAACTACATTAAATTTTATATAAATCATATGCATTAAAATGCATCAAAATATTCATAAATTTCTTTATCGTGCACTTTATAATTTCAGATGTACATGTACAAATTTCATCAATTTTAAAACACATGTCTTCAAATATATTAAAATTGTCTGATAAGACAGTCTGAAACAGTTTATAGAACTAAGAAATAGATAATCATTAATAGTAATAATATGAGGTAAAAATACTATTTGGAGTAATCCTGGCTCTGTAGTCTCCACCTCTCTGACCCAAGGGGCACTTAAATGAGCTGTTGTTTACAGATGTAATGATTCTCTCTTTCACATGGTTCATCCATAGCACTGTTCATTGGCTTATACACTATGCAGTTCTTTGTATCTGGAGTTTCCAATGATGAAAATCTGCAATGCAGAAGAAAATGTTAATATGTGGGAAAACAAAGTGAGATGTTTGGAGTGATCTTTTATTATACTATAGAATTTTTAAAGTATTTAAGTAAGATATTAACATGTTGAATAATTATTACTTTCTTTCAATAAACACAGATCTCATGTTTCTAGAATACAATATCATAAAACACTCAGTTATTCTCTTACTAATAGTAATATTGAGGCCAGGGAGTTTTTAGTTTTTGCTGTTGTCAGTAATAGATTTGATATATGAAATGCTTCACTTCTGTTTTGTTTAAGACGTATTGGCTGAGGCAGTCTAGGGAAACAAACCAGAGCATAAACTTTGACATAGTGTGATGCTGCAGACCCACACTAAACAATGACAATGAGATTCAAAGTTTACGACTATACAAGAAGATAAGCCCAGGATATTTAAAAGATGAGAGATGCTGAGAACGTTGGGTTCCACCAGCATCAAGAGAATAATGGATATACCGTTTTCTCTGGCTGCCCCTGTGTATGGGAGCCTCTATCTGTACAGGCACATAAATCTCCAAGTACAGTACCAAGGCAAAATAAAGCATATGGCAAAGTTCTTTCATGATCACAAGCTCAGCAATTTTCATGTCACTTGAGCATAGACTTGGATATTCTATGTGGAGCCAAAATTGTTATTTTGCCGCACCTTCTCTTTTTCCTGTATTCTCGTGCCCTAGGTAGGTGATTTTAGCTTCAGTGCTCCTGGATGCTACCTTCCCTTGTTAGTTCTAAGGATAAATTCACAAACATCAAAAAGGGTCCTAGAAACTTACAGATCCCAGGAAAAAGCAGAGCCATTCTCCCACAGCCAGGCCCCACGTTCTTCATTGTAGGAGAGTCCAATCCAGTAAAAGCGTTGACTGAAGTTCATAAAATTCTACTTGGAGTCAGAGACAAACATATTAACCTGATTTTAATCTGTTCTGCATATAGCATACTTTTAAGAACAACAGTGTTCAGAATAAGATTCACCCTGTCTGTCATACAAACACATGATTTTTAACTGCTAATTTAGTTAGGTAAAGTCACATCCTCAAATTTCTCATTGATCAAGCCCACTCATTTACCGAGAAAAATACCACAAAATCTCACGTATTAAACGAACAAGAAACCTCATAAAGGGAGATAGTTTCCATGGTACATTTCCTTCACAGGGAATCAATGATCAATGTGGGGTGGGGCAAGGGCAAAGTACATAACCTAAACATTTATAGCCCAATAATATACAGAAATAAAAAAGAAAACAATGGTCAAATGTGATTCCAAATTAGTAGTAATATGAAGGATAAATCTCATGAATATAGACTCAGCACAGATGTTAGATGCAGCTGCAGAAATTTTTCACTTTTTCTTAAGAACTGGGTAATTTTTGTGATTTTATTCTCCATTCTGCTTTCATATTATATCCCAAAAAGATGACAAAAGTTACAAGAGAAATTCTAAATTTCATAAAAAGAACTAAAAATTACAAAGTTCAAACTAATAACGTATTATTTCTTCTTTGAATTCTCCCTAAAAAGTTTCTTGTACTTTATTTGGTGCCTATCTGAGTCTTTATGCCTATAATGTAAATCTTTGAAGAACTTGATATAGGTTTTACAATGGTGGTTTCAAGGTACATGAAATTGATAGGTCATTAGTTCAAAAATAACTGTCCCTTTACTATCTGATTAAAGACTTGAATCAAAGTGTTTGGCTTACTTAGATAGTATATTTTTCTAGATTAAAAAGAAAAAAAAACTGTAGGAAGCCACAAATAAGTACATGCCAGTTCATCTCTGTTTTGAAGCTGAAGCAAACTGGAATTCTGAGAAGCACAGAAATTTCTACTTTCATTCCAAGTTTTCATTTCACTAGAGATGAAGTAGCAGTTCCATCGGTACCCAACCCACTTCTTTGGGCAAGAACAGCAGTCAGGGCCTAAGACAAAAAAAAATAAAACATCACAAATGACATTGGAGATTAAAATTTTTTTCAATGCAATTCAATTATTTGAAAATAATTTACTATTTATTTTTTCTACAAATATTCTTTGTTCAGTGGCTATTAATGTGAACAGGTTATATATGACACTTTTTCCTCATAGAGAATATATTCCAGGGATAGTTCCAGAATTATATAATTTCCAGTAATTTATTAACTATAGGTAATGACAACTTAGGTGAGTTTGCAAAAGCAATTCAGTATGTTGATACAGCACACAGTAGCTTATGGGGTGGAGGCAGTTAGAACTTTTCTGAAGACGTGCCCTGAAGCTGAGCACTGAGGTGCAAATAGGAGTTAACCACATGAGAGAGCTAAAGGAGGGAAATATTTAGCATATTTTCTGAGCAATGAAAGATATGGTACATTGGGAGAATTCTGATACAGGTTTGGGTATTTTATTTTTCAAAAAGGAAGATAAACCAATTAATTAGCTTGAGGTCTGGTTATACAGTTTATCTGTCAATATCTGCAACACTACTTAAGCACAGTAATTATAGCCATAACACATGGTAGACAAATCTCCGCTATATAAAGGTTGGTGAAAGTGTTGAGATAAGATAAAAATCATAAATGAAGTACTACTCTATGGTCACAGAAGACGATGAGAAAACATGGGGAGCATTTGGGGAAAAATATACTCAAAAAATTAGACTTTGAGCTGCATTCACTGGACAAGTAAGGTTTAGAATTGCAGAAATCTGTGCAGTATATTCTGAGTCATAGAAGAAGCAGAAGTAACTGTTAAGAGTTAGGAAAGTATAGCTTATACACAAACACAGGTAATAAGGATTAGTTGTAATATTTACTGTAGATTATTCTTTGTTACTTAATCAGGAGCACTCATGCAGGAAATACATGTCATTTCAGGCTACTGCTTTCCTCATTGTTAATATCTAAATGATGCACATTCAATTTAATAATTCTTACATTAGAAAATAATAAAATGATACTATCTGACAATTAGTAGGCAAATTTTTATTCATCTTGCTCCTATAAGAAGCTTAAAAATAGGAAAAGGTTTAACCAACCTTCCTGGAGTTCTCTGTCGGGTCCTGGAGAGGATGTTGACTCCACATCTGTTTTAGTGTGTGCCATAAGAAATGATTCGAAATTTGCTTAATGAGGTATAGGTTTATAAAATAATAAAATATTACACATTAGTGAAATGAACCTATTATTATTAAATTATTTCCTTAAATTTTTGATTATTGTCTACACTTGTCTAGAAAAACTTACAAGATTTCAACAACATTCCCAAAGTAACCATCAACAAAAGGCATATGACTCCTAAGGTCCCAGAAATCAACCGCCACCGAGTGGTCTGAGACACTGTAGAGAAAGACAAATGGAATAATTATTTAAAGAACAAATGCAAGAGCTGAAGTTCTTAAAAACAAAATCAGTGATGTGGGATCCAAACGTTCTTTCATTTGATAACGCAGTCATCTTGTCAATAAAACACTGAAAAATGAAGACATTCCATTCAAGAGTTCACCCAATATCAACATTTTTATGTTGTGTACCTTGATCTTCAGTGTGCTTATCCACACATTTTCTTCTCTGCCATCTCTGTCCCAAAGAAGTACATTTGCCATCTATTGTTTAGATTTTCTGAGAAGTGTAAAGTTCTGGACTAAGAAGACATCGACAGGTGCCAATTTGTGTTCCATGGGCTTATATAACAGATATGTACTTATATTTTCTCTAAGAAATCATAATATAAACAGTATGATTCCCATTAGGGAGATAAGAAAACATAGAGTCTAATAATTATGTCATTTTCTCAAGGTATCAAAGCTAGTAAGTACCCAAGCCAGAAATCAAATGAAAGTTGGCCTAGGCCCAGACTCTGATTTCACATATTCTATCATTGCCACAATAATATTACTTAGGAGTGTGCCCTCTCCTAGTCTCACACAGGCTCTGCTCTGATACATGTCTACCTCTCATAGGATTGTTGAGGTATTATAGGGAAGAGAAGGCATAGTAACATTCTGGACTTGGTGTGATGACTGGTTCTACAAAGTATGGGTAATTTCTTGATGATCTGAGTTTAAATCATAGTACATTGAATTATGATACATAAATAAATTTTCCCCAAGAACATTACATTTATTCATACTCAAAATTATTTGCTTAAAGGCTTTTCCCCCTGAAACATTTTAATATTAGGAGATTCTACATTAACATTAGCACACTCTGAAGAAGTGATGTTGTTGTTAACTTAGTACAATGTGTCACACTGTTAATCTGTATAATTTTTGGATGTCATAACACTAATAATAAATTTTTAAAAACTTATAAGCATTGTGTCATCTAATAATAAATTTTTAAAAACGTGTAAGCATTGTGTCATTAATATTTGGCATTCTGTATTTCTATGCCAGAATTTCAATGTTCACGATTTAAACAGATAAGCATGATTCTCATTCAGAATTTGGAGGTATCTCTGTCAGAAACCACTTTTTAAACCCGTTGTAAAAGTTTCACAAAATCGTCTCTCTAAGTTATGGATTCAAGAATCAAGACGATAAAAAGAATGTGCAAAGTGCTGATACATGAAAAGCCTAAACATATCCACCGTTAACCATGTGCTTTTCTCTTAAAGCACTGACCCCAAATTAGCCAATCCACTAAATATCTTTCCTGGTTACTTTTTATTTTTTAAATTTTGTGACTGGGGTCACACATACCTGCCATGAGAACCGATGTTCCAAGGTCAACGCAGAGAAGATGCGGTGCTTGTTCAGGAAGAACGGTGCTGGGTGATTAAAGCTAAACTAGATGTTGACTATGAAGAAATTTAACATAAAAAGAGGAAAAAAACCTGTATATTTAAATGATGCTCTTGAGTCATCTATTGGTGAGACATGTTTGGATGGCATGAAGCAGTAAAGCAATAAAATCACAAGCTTCTAAGTGTTCCAGGAACCACAATACAGGAAATCCGCACTGAACTTTTGCAATGATAACACTTTGACCAGCACTAAAAAAGGTGAGGGGGAGTATTTTTTTGGTTATTATTGTTGTTGTTTTTAATGTTTAAACATCAAAGTCCTCTTAAAAAGTTACTTGGGCAATGCCAAGAAATGGACAAGCCGAAGGTAGATTTTGCTTAGTATAATAAAATTGTATGCAGAATTTTTATCTTTAAATAATAACAGCCGCTTTACTATCGGCATTGTGTTCAGCACAGTTTAAAGCATTTGGCATATGTTGCTCATTTATTTATTAAAAATGGGTTCAAAATGAAGATATATAAATATATTCATTTTACCAATGAGAAAACTGGGACACATAGAACTAAGTAACTTGCCCAAGGCCACTAAATTGGTATTCCTATATCTCACTCTTTGCCTGTCATCGCTGCTGCACGAACCCAGCCATGAGGGCAAAGTTTAAAAAGGTACAATGAAAATGGACAAAGAAATTTGGTCAAAAATTTTTTAGGGTCACATAAAAATTTAACTTAATAACCATAATTATTACTGATAACATACATCAAGATATCATAATTTTAGGATGCTCATACAATTTTGGGATATATGTTAAAAAATGTTTATATAAATATAACCCAGAGAAAGCCAAACACCATTTGATATTTCACTGCTTCCTATGTACTTCTAACACACCAAATAAGTTGAATGTTTCTCGCTTGCTCTTTCAGTGGCTCTAATATTTAAAAACAAAACAAAAAAACTAGTTTTCAGACAAAAATGCTGAACTTAGAATTTTGATTTTGTTAAGTTTGTCAAATATCCAAGGTCTAAAACATTTGTCATAAAACAAGATCACAGGTTACTATGATACAATAGTCATGTATTCAAAGTAATAATTTAAAGATTTTAAGGGCAAAAATGTTATTTTTAGTAGAGAAGAGACTCAGTTTCCCAAATAAATAAGACCTAATAAAGACAAACTGAAAAATCTGTCTCTCTTCTTTGTTTTTTGTAGTTTACTCAAAAGAGTGAATAAAAATTTTTACTATCTTTATTAATATTACTTGAAAATTTTAAGAGAGAATACAATTTTTATTTTTGCATTAGTATATTAAATAGTAAAGCTAATTTAAATAAAAATACACAGATGTATTTAATCTTAATTAATTTGACCATACAGTAAGATTTCTATAACATTTTATAATCTTTACCAAATTTTTCATACATTTATATCACTTAGTCTATCATTTTTATTCATTTAATTTAAACCTGTTTTGAAAACCTTTAAGTTAAGCAAAATTATTTTTTTCACAAAAAACAAATTTTTATGTTCTTATACCCCTTGTTTACAGAAACAAATCTTATTTTCTTCATATAGTTTATATATGCAGTGGTTTCATTTATATATGGCTTTACTTACATATATTAAATACAGTGTTAACTCTTAGTAATCCTAACTTTCGTAAAAAATGCAGTAAATATATAATTTGAACTTAAAACATGTAGTAGACTTATTTGATCTGTCTGAACAGGTTCAGGTAAAAATGCCGACATTAAAATTTGAAGATGTTTTAATTTTATTTTGCCAATTATTTAAAAATTATCTTTATTCATTAAAGATTATTAAAGTTACATGAACTTGAAAAACATTTGGGCTAGTTTTTTCCTTTTATGAACACTCACTTATAAGTTAATTTGGCATCATGGAAAATAGGCAAATACATAAGTACATATAGCAATACAATCAAACATAATGAGCATTGTATAGCTTTGGTTTTAAAACTCTAGCCACAAGACTGGCAAAAACAATTGGATTTAAACTATGTCCTTGAAAATTGAACAAGTTAGCCTATTTGTTTTACATACAGCCCAAGCTGTATGTATTCTCACAGAGAAAACAGGGTAGCAGTCTATGTTTCAAAGCATAAAGAGACAAAAAACTAATCCTTTCTAAAAAGGAGTTTGAATATGTTAGAATATAGACCAAAATGGATGCTAAGACAACATGAAATCATATGAATTTGTCATTGAACTTATAAGGAGACCAACTTTATTTAGATAGCTAACATTGAATCTTGGCTCTCCAAAAAAAGAAAAAAAGAGAGTGTTACCAAATCCTGGGTGCTTGTCCAGGAGGCCAAATGAGAAGAAGAAGGAGGATAGGGAAAGAGATTTTACTTTGCAACAATGACTATCTCACACCTCCTTCCATAGATATGAGAGGGTAAAATTTAGAGTGGGAAATATGTAAGGGGGAATGGTCTGAAAAATAAAAAAAAGATTTTCTGTCTCTTTAAAAATGATCACCATTTTGAGACGGTGATCTCATTTTGAGATTTGCAGCCTGGCCTGCATCCCTGAGGCAGGTTAAGGCTTTTGTTAAAACTCCCAGGAGACACCAGCCCCCCAGATGGATGGCTGGCAGAGTTCACAGGCTTTTCTTTGACAGAGATGTAAGGATTAGAACAGTTAACTATAGCAATCGCCAGAAGCTAAGAATCCTCCCTTTAAAAGCTCTGTATTTCTGCCTATGTTCAGGATATTTGGATTTTGAGATGAGAAGGTCTACCATTTTTCCTCCTTTGCAAAGTAAAATCTCTTTCCTCATCCTGCAAACATTTGTCCTCCTTCTGATTCAGCGTCTTGGACAAATTCCAAGTTTTTAATAAAAGAGATGTCATGGGACCACTCCACACAATGCTCTCATAATACATTTTTTAAAAAAGAAATTTCTCTAAGTATTTAAATCATATATTTTCTATCTAGAAGCACAAAAAAAGAAAAATATACGAGCAGTCCTCTGTAGTAAAAATCACCTGCCATAAATAATCATTCTTAATCACCTTTAAAACTGCATGGTTTTATTGCTGACTGTCTCCTCCAGCTTATTCACAGGAGTGAAACTGTTAGATAGTTAGTGAGGGATTCCGGGGCTCCTAGGGACAAAAGTGGGTGCTGCTATGATTCACCCCACAAATGGGCTTTCAGAGAGGCTCGTGGGAGATCTGCATGCACAGTAAGACTCAGGTCGTAGAGCTCCCAGCTGTCCAATCAAAGTGGTTCCACGGTGACGTTTGAACCAAGAGGGAGGTCCCAATTCAGGCACTATAAAACAACATGCAGACCATAACCCCTTTTTGATCCCTTCCTTTTGCTCTCTCTTTGCTGCGAAAATGGGTCCAATAGTCACCTGTGGTGTATGAATCTCACCATGTAAACCTATATCTTGCTCTTGCTCTATAATCTCATCTTTCTCTCCTCAATAACCCTCATTTCGGTGCTTGCCTTACTTTGTCGTGTCTTGTCATTCTTCAGCTATGAGCACACTAAGAACTGACATTTCAGACTGAAACCTGACAAAACTGCCTATATTAAAATAATGCAGAGCCATAAGGTATAAATGATAATCAAAGTCATATTTTTATAAAAGTATAGATGTAGCCAGAAGTTAACCAGCCATTGTTCCCTAACTTCCATACTGCTGTAACAGGTTACTGCCTAATGACAGTACTCTCTCTGACAGGTACAAGATATGTGACTTCTCCTACCACTTCTGCTGGTACCATTGCTACTTAAACCCCAAAGACTTGTGGAGAAGATAGATAATCTTAGATAATATATAATAGTAATGATACATATATTATATATTATATACAATAATAATAACAGATAATATTGCTATTATAAAGCCTAAAACTGGTCTCTGAAGTATTTTCAGACTGCATTCTGAGGGGACTCACTAACAGCAACTGAACTTGTGGATAGGTGTGGGAACGAATCCAACAGCCTCAAGACACCCTATCCAGGAAATCTACCAAAGGAGAAGATAATCAGCATGAGTTCACTCCCCTACAAATGCTCAGACCCAATAGCCTAGCCCTTTTCCTGATAAATTATCTTTAAAAGCCCTTTCCACCAAATTCTCAGGGAGATGGATTTGAAAAATTACTCCTATCTCCTCACCTGGAGCCTTGGGAGATAAACTTTTCCTCTGCTGTGACCCCAACTGTCTCAGTACAGTGGCTGTTAGACGCAAGGACCCTCAAAGACCCTCAACTCCCCTATGACTCGTCCTACGCACGGACTTCGCCCTGGAAAATTCCAGCTATAGCTCCGAGAAGAATGCAGTCCATGACGTGCTGACCACGGGATGCTCCAGGGTGTGCTGACTGCAATTGTTCCCGACCACCTGCCAGGTTGGAGATGAGTAACCAGTCAAAAACAGGATACTGATAAGACGCTGATTGGGGCTGATTAACCCAGACCCAAGCCTCATCGTCAACACTCTATTTTTTTGCTTCTACTTCCTTGTTTCTGTATGCTTATAAAACCTACTAAGAATCTAAGTAAAGTAGACCTTGACAATCATTCGCTTGGTCTCGTTTCTTTCTCTCGCTCATCTCTTTCAGGCACGGTCCCCCTCGCCCCCGCGAGTAACAGAAGGTCCCGCGGGTCGGGACAAGTGGCCTTCACTGGGTGGTGGGCAAGGGACCCAGTTGGGCTGTAACAGAACCCCTTACACACAAAAGTCTAAAAGCCTCATGTGCCTCTCATAGGTGGAAGAAAACAGGAAATTAAAGATTATGACTTGAAAGCAGAAAAACAGATTTTAGGGGAGAATGGAAAAACCTGAGTAGTTAGCAAAAGATGGTCCTGTTATGTATGTAAATGAAGCCTTGTGGGCAGTAGCCCTCAGAGAGAATAGATGGCAAATCTTTCTAGACCTTTAAAGGTGTCAGACTCAAAGTAAATCTTTTCTAAATCAGGAAAGGATAGACCTGG